GCTCAGCAGGCGTCTGGGGGACCACTGTGACCGCGCCACCTCTCAAGGCCTGTTGTCCACTAAGAAGGACAGGTTGCATGTAGTGCTGATCGGGAAAACCTGCAGTACCTGGGCCTTGCCCTGCAGATGGGATCCGGAGTGGCTTTAGGACCCACTGAGCTGAAGTGCATCTGGCTCAGTCTCTGCCTGGGCTCGGCAGCCCTCTGGTTGGCACTTGACTGGCCTTTTCAGCAGCTGGTCATCCATGGTGACCAAGAGAGGGCCCAGGAGGGGTGGCCAGTAGGGCCTTGGCAGAGCATAGCCTTGGGTCCTGCCATTACAACAGACCGATCCCCTGTGGGATGTCCTTGCTGCAGGGTCTCGATAAGAAAGAACAGTGGGCTTCCCAGCCCTTGTGCAAAGCTGAACACCAACGAACACTTCTAAGCTTCTGCAGAGAAAATCCCCATTAGATCACACCACATGGGGGTTGAGCCTGCCCTGAGCGTCCCGCGGTGTGCAGGACGGTCCCATGGCTGCAGCTGCATTAGAGGCAGGTGCTTCTTGGGCAAGTCTGACTTAAGCAGGTGACTGTGTTTGCCGCTGTCCTTATCAGGTTCTGTGTGTGACTTGCGTGGTCTTTTTCCTCACGCCGTGCTCCCCCAAAGCCTCAATGGAGCATTATACTGGGGTCGTCTTGCAAAACAGGCAAGTCACACGGGAAAGCCTTGGTGTCCGGGTCATTCTGTGCAAAGATGTCCAGTGTCCTGACTACATCAGACAAGGCCACCACCAAAACTGAGTGAACTCTGTAGGGTGCAGCAGGCAAGAGAGAGCAGGCCCCAGGACAGGGCCTGGGAGGTTCTGAGTCCCCCACGTGTGGCCTTAGGGACAGTGGGGGGGGGGGCTGAGCACCAGGTGGGAGAAAGGTGCACACCCCATTACAGTGAGTGACGGATGGGGACCTGCAGCCCCTCCCTCTCCTCCCCTCCCCTCTGGTGGGTCCACGTGTCCGCAGGCCCTGGAGACTGGGCTGGGGAGAAACCAGCAGTACCCTGGGGATGCTGGAGGGACCGGCTGGTGCACTCACCTGCTGACCACTGCCTGCTGCGCTGTCATGGGCCGAGCTTGGAAGGGTGGCAGTGGTGGCCAGCAGACCAGGCTCTGCACAGGGACCCAGGAGGTGGGTGTGGGTCGTCAGCGCCCCAGGTCACAGGTGCAGGAGCGGCCTCGGTGGGATGCCCCACAGCCTGCCCGGGTAGGCAGGCTGAGGAGGAAAGGGTGTCACGCCCAGGCCCACCCGACACAGGCCGCCACGTCTTCCTGCTGCAGGAAGTGCCTCTCTGTCCAGGCCCAGTCAGGGGAAGGGGGGGTTGTCCGTGACTTGTCAAGTGCCTCGCTTCTGACCCGGCAGACGACCATGGCCATCTCCACGTGTCACTCTTCACGTGCTCTTTTCTTGTCCTGGCCCACGGTGGGTGTTTTTCTGCTGTAACAACTGAGGGAGCCAAAGTTTGCCTGGTGGCGGGCCACGGTCTCAGAGGGCGTCTGGACAGGCTGGTCCCAGGCCCTGAGCCCAGCAGCCTGGCTCTGGGGAGGGTCTGGGGAGACCTGCTGTGCCATCTCATCACAGAGCACCCTGGGACCTGAGCCATGGTGACCGTCCTCCACAATGCACTGTCGGCCCCTCCAGTCTTTGCCCACCTGCCCGCCACTGTGTCAGGTGGTCTCCCTGCCTAAGGCGAGCATTCCCCAGTCTCGGGTAGGCCACCGTTGCCCCAGGGGTCAGTACCAGAGGGAAGTCCCCGGAGGATCCCCAGTAGTTCCCGGGGCGCGCCCCAGTCCCCCACCCTGGGGCCTCCGCTGCCTGCTTTGGAAGAATCCTGTCCAGAAGGAAGTCTCTCTTGTCAGGGCCCATGTCCCTCTGTGGGGTCTTGGCCGTCTGCCCTGATGCCTTCTGGCCGGGACATCTCACTGTTGA